AGCTCTCTTGACGACGCCTCAAGCACTGACTGGAAATCCTACCCTCGGATGTCACTCCTGCTACCGTGACGAAAGCTCTCAGCTCATCGTGGGTACCACAAACCATGCCTCTGTTCTTTGCAGGTAGCACTTCTGGTTGCAAATGAATTTTGGGAACAAGGCGATTTGGAACGGACAGTGCTTCAGCAGCAACCGATTGTAAAGACCTTGTCATTCCATGTACGCATTCAAAACCATTCCTAAAGCGCAAGAAACCATCTTAAAGGGCTTTCTTCTCTTTCTAGCCTATGATGGACAGAACCAAAAAAGACGAACTCCCCAAACTTCAAGTGGGATTTATTGATTTTGTTTGTACTTTTGTATACAAGGTATGTAAACAAATTATTTGAATGAACTGTGTAATCATTTAAATGATAATTTTTCTTTCAAACTGTAACTAGAGTGAGCCAGGTGTGGAGGTGCATACCTATAAACCCAGCACTAAGGAGGCAGGGGGATCAGAGTTCAAAGTCATCTTGGTAAGTTTCACGCCAACTTGGGCTATACAGCAAGACCTTGCCTAAAAAACAAAAGTAAAAAACATTCTCAATGAAGAAAACCATTAGGCCATTTCCTCCGTAGTATTTGGAGCACTGACTTTGATTTATTCAGAGTGGAATAAAATGCACAAAAGCCACGCACAAACCCCCTTGACATCAAAGACCACCTGCCTTCCCCCAACTTCAGAAGCACCCAGGCTCATCCCAGTAGCTCCAGACACCACCCACCTCCCAGCTTCTCTTCCACAGATGAACACTACTGAAAGTCAAGTATATGACTAATGGTTTCCCCGCCTCAAATTCTCTGCAGGAGTTCTCACGCTTCCACAGAGAGATTACCCCCATGCTGAATGGCCTTCAGAAGAACAGAGTGGAATGGAAATCCCTCGCAGAGGAGTACGAGGCCAAGGTGAGGGTGGCTGAAGAGGAGGCAGGAAAGCAGGAAGAAGGAGCCACGGATGAGAAAGGTTAGCTGGAGCCCGAGTCTACGTGTGTGAGTGTGGGGGTGGCTGAGTGAGTGTCACATGACAAAAATACAGACCGCACGTGCTAGCAGGAACCTGCTTTGCGGATCCAGGCAGGTAAGTGTAAGAAGTTCGTGGTTCATATTGATAGCAAAATGTTGGGCTGGGCTGGAGCTAAGTGGTAGAGCATTTCTTCTCATTGCAGAAAGAAGAATGCCGAGATGGTGGTGTGGGTTGCCCATGGATGTTCGTGTATGTTTGTGAGTGTTGGTGTGACGGCCTGAGGAACTGTTCACCTTGTTATTTTCAGGTTTTGTCACTGGCCTGGGGCTCACCTATTTAGCCAAGCCTGCTGGCTGGCAAGACCTATGTATCTGCCTTTTCCTACCTCCCAGTATTGGGATGACAAGCGTGTACCGCCATGCCCAGCTTTTTCAAGAGGGTACTGAGAATCAGATTCGGGTCCTTGAGCCTGAGTGGGCAAGCCTTTCCTATTGAGCTATTTCCTCAGGCTGAGATGTTATGTCCATCTCTCCAGAGGTTCGCGCTCTAACAGTTTTGTAAGCTGTTCCTATTGGCAGAGAAACCACCTCTGGGTGGGAGGCCCTGCAAGAAGGTACTTTTAAATAAATACTGTTTGCTCAGATTTTAATTAGTTCATTGAAAATGGGAATATTTGCCTTAGTAAAGTTATAGATGCCTTTCAATAGAATAAAAGCAGGAGTTTCTGATGCCTTCAAGCCCATTCATTAAAATACTGAAAGGCTGTGTCAGACAGACCTTGGGGGAAAGACCAAGCTCTTACCTCTGAGGGAGAGCTGGGCATTAAGCAACCAATGCGTAATCTGACAGTGAGCCTTAGAGAAAGCATGGGGTGTATACTGAGAGCACAGGAAGGCTTCCTCGAAAGGGATTGTTTGTGCTGAGGTCTCAAGACAGTAAGCCCCAACTCACACAAAGAGGCAGAGGTGGTGCAGAAGGAAAAAAAATAGGGTATGTAAAATAACTACTGAAGTGGGAATGAGTTTGGTGTAGCAGCACCATTTAAAACCACGTCTCTGTATAGCCGAGATAGGACAGAAACCCGAGTACCAGATGAGGCTGGCAGTGTAGGCACCTGAGCTAGATAGAGTACATAGACTGCAGTCAGCTGCATCACACAGCCAGCAGGGGCTGCACAGGACAGTCTGAGCCACACTTCAGGAAGGCAGCAGAGATCTTGGCTAGTTTGTTAGACTTGTGAAGTTATTTTGTCTCTCCCGTTAGAATGTGAGCCCATGAGAAATCCTTGGACTGAGAAATTTGATGAGAAAGATGCTGTCACCTTTTCCAAGTGGCTCCTATATTTATTGTCTTCATTCTTTAATACAATATTTTTTTTATCAGTTCTTTGAGAATTTCATGTAGGTGCACAATATACTTTGGTCATTTAGACTCCAACCCCTCCCCTGATTCCTCCCAGAGTGGACACGGGTCTTCTCTCTGTTATTTGCATACATTTATTTCTAATTTCTGTCCATTACTTGGAGAGCTTGTCTCCTGGGTTTCAGTGTTTGCTCCTCCAGCTCAGAATCTAACTTGTTTAATTTCACTGAAACAGAGATGGTAACTGTTTATCAAGTTTCATTTTATTATTATTATTTTTTTTTGAGAGAGCCTATGCAGCTGTCTAGAACTCACAGAGATCAGCCTGTCTCTGTCTTCCGAGTGCTAGGATTACAGGTGTGTACCAATGCACCTGGCACCTGAGTTCACACACACACACACACACACACACACACACACACACACACATTGAGTCCCACCATGCAGCCTTTACTGTCCTAGAATTCACAACGCCTCAGACTCACTGAGCTCCTCCTGCCTTTGCCTCCCAAGTGCTGGAATTAAAGGCATGTATTACCACACCCTGCTCTTTTTATTATTCAAGTTTTTCCCCAATTTATGTGTATGAGTATTTTGCCTGCGTGTGCATGCGCCTGACGTACAGAGATCAGGTTTGGATCCGTTGGAATGGGATGACAGATGGTTGTGAGTGAGCCACCATGTGGGTACTGAGAATCAAATCTGAGTTCTCTGCAATAGCAACAAGTGCTCTAAACTGAACCATCTCGCTAGCTCCTTGAATTTTATTTTAAGTGAGCCAATTGTGAATAAAAAATTGGTCGTAAACAATCAAACCCTTGGAGTTGCTATGCTTTAATCTAGTGTTACCTTAAAGTAGTTATAAGCTAGTATTATTAATTATAGATCTGACACAGATACCATGAGAATGTTGGAATAAAAGTATTTATCACACTGACCGCTGATAATGTTTTTCTCTGATCTTTCACTAGCTGCCACAGATTTAGGAGGCAGCACCGAAGACAAAAAGTCCAAAACGTGCTTAATGTTGTAATATGATCCAGCTGGCTGATATTTCAAGTATCGTCTTAGTTTCCATGAAAAAATATTCAAAGGAACCCCACTGTAGCCCTGGAGTAACAGAACAGCAAGATCTCCAAGAACACTGCCCTGTGACTACCCACAAAATATCTACTGCTGACCTGGAAACCCCATGACTAAATAAAGTTCAATCAAAGAACAAAATATGACAAAACATTGAATTTTATGCCAGTTTCTTTTAAATTAAAAAATGCTCTCTTGAAATAAGTCAGAAGGTATATTAGGATTTATTTATATGTATGTGTCTAAGTGAGTCTATGTGACATGTGTGTCTCTGCTGGTGAAGGCCAGAGGAAGGCTTCAGATCCACACAAACTTGAGTTACAGGTAGCTGTGAACTCCCTGACATGGGTTCTGGGATCCCAACTGGGGTCCTCCGGGAGAACAGCAAGTGCTATTAACTACGGCCTGAGCCTCAGGTATTTAAAAAAAAAAAAATGACCATGTAAGGAACCAGAGCATGAAGCAGCTGGCCAATATCTCAAGTATCATCTTAGTTTCCAAGAAAAAATATTCAAAAGACCCTCACTGTAGCCCCGTAGAGTCGATGTCAAACATCACCTTAGACTTTGCCTTCAAATATGACTCCCATCATCAGCCACCGTGCTAGATCCCTGTAGGGAGAGCTCCTGCAGAGTTGTAGCCGGTTTGATTTTCGGGTGTTAGCTCCTAGTTTTAAGCTGTCTTTTGTGACTGCTACCTTTTTGTCTCTAGTACCTTCTTTTTGAAATATGTGAATCTTGTCTGGTGGTTTTTTTAAAGGTGCAAAGCCTATGCAAAACTTGGTTGGGGGAGAACCTGGCAAACCGAGATAGATGCCCCTTAACTGGGAATTTGCATTTGGCATTGTCTCTTTGGGGAGCTTAGCTAAGAGGTTTTGGGATATGGAAATTAGCTTGCTAAAGGTATAAATTGGATTAACAATAAAAACGCCCTTTGCTAAGCTCCAGAGAATCAGTCTGCCAGAGGCTGATCCCCTCCAGCTGGAGAGGCTAGACACCATCCTCAGAGTGCCTGTGTCTCCTTCCCATAGACCCGAGAACCACACCCAACATACAACAGATTGCTGTGATTTTTATATAATTATCTGAATTCATACTTGAACTTCATATCATCAACTGTATTTATTCCAAAATATACTGTTCTACTGTTCTATAGTCTTCCCAGCATTTCATTGTGCAGAACTCTATCTTCTGATGATCACAGGATGATGAAAATACCTTCACTGTAAGAATGCTTAGCTATAGGAATTCCAGTACTAATAACTTTGGTGTTGGACATTTCAGATAATTTCCCTCAGAAATCAAAATTCCTTTTTACTCACCTTAAGTGGTAAGCTGAAGAACACCTTTAAGAAATGAGGAACTTTTACACAATATTTAACATCAGCACACCTGACACTAATTTACTATTTTCTGACAGTTCAGAAAGGATTGCAAAATGACTTCCGAAATGGCTCAGCACAGTGCTTCATGCGTAACAGAAGCCTGGCCAGCAGTTATAGAGCAAATGAACAACTGTCCGATAAAAGGAAAAACTCTGACACTAACCATTTAAAATTAGACACAAAATAATTTATTTACAGTTTACTGCCAATCACTTGTGTTCTAACGTCACTTAAAACAGCATATCATGTACTGGAGAGTTTTGAACAAAACAGATTTGTAGAAAAGCAACTGAGACGCTACACGAGTGAAGGAGGAAGTGTCTGAAACAGTCTGTTCCGGTGGCTGTCCAGACTCAACAGCATGGACAAGCTCATGGAGTATCACGGTACACTTCCTCACCATGGAATGATGCTCTCTCCCAGCTCACAGAAACAAGTCCTGAAAATAATCATCAAATTCTTCTTCCCTATTAAAAAAAGTACGAATGTGGATTATACTCAAGAGTACTCAAAATAATAAAAATAAATTAAAAAATAGCATGAAAAGTTAAGATACATTATATGAGATTAATAAAAATACTTTCAGTATAAAGCTGACCATTCTATATATCAATATGTTTTTATAATTCAAATAATTCTGAGTTTCTAAACAATCATCTATTCTCAAAATTGTTAAAATTGGAATATCTCACATGCTGGTGCCTCTCTCAAAAGCCCTCAAGTTTTTTTTTAAATACTTTGTGAAACAACATTGCTTGTCTTTGCTTTTTTCGTTGACTTTATACCTTCTCTGTTCACTATTTCAAATTCTAATCTGTTTAAGAAATGCATGAAACAGAAAGAATGTTTATAAAAAACACAAGTCTTACTCTCGGGATGTGAGGACATTTGAGAATAGTAAATATGTATTTGTAGCTCGTAAGGGTTATGTCTAAGAGAAAGAAGAGAACTTTGAGTAGAACCAGGCAGTGTTTGCAGCCGGCTTCAAGCAGCGGCAGAGAGCAAGTGCTCTGAGTTATCTGTTGCTGGGAGGCTGGGATGAGTGTTGGCAAGGATTTTCACACCTGTGTAAACCTTCATGGGGCTCCTCAGCATGGGTCCTGAGAATGGAACATCATGGGACAGGCTGTCCTAGATGCAAGTGAGCAGCCACCTCAGAGGGAGTCCAAGCAAGAACAGAGGCTGTCTGTTCCAGTGAACTGACGCTGGGCCCACTGGCTCTCTGCGGCCAACAACAATGGCTGGTAAAAAACTTCACCTTGCCAGGGAAGGGAGTCTTTGGCACTAAATAAACTTTCACGGCATTAAATATTTTCGTTAGCTGATACAAGAAGAGCTGCATGCACAGCCCTGCGCTGACGCAGAAGGGAGCATCTACAAGTCTAGCACTTACTGTGACTTTCCATCTGTCTCTGGCAGGGGACCCTTCCAGAGCTCGGACTCTGAAGCACTGTCTTCCTCATCAGTGTTTCCTGCTCATTTAGAAGAAAATGTTTGTGTTTTGTTTTAACATAACACATTTTGAATCATTTACCAGTGCAATTAAATTAACTATCAATTTAACAGCAATTTTTACAATTCCCTGGAAATTTAAATTATTATATCCCTCCAGATATAATAATTTAAATCTTAAACAATACAAGAAATATCAGAGTCTTAGCAAAAAGGGCGCATCTTATGAATATCTTCCCCATGTTACACTGAACAAAAGTAACAGCTTATTTAGTTATTTCCTTGGTCATATAACAAAAATGAGATTAAGATTTACATAGAGACCATATCTGGATTAGGACCAACAGTTGTCACTGAAGAGGAGTCACTGACTGATTTAATCATGGGTAGTTTGTCTGTACATTATCCAACACTGAGTAAATTTTAGTTGAATATTATTAGGTGATTCATTTGAGGCCTACTTTTTAGTATTTTTAAAGAGGAATATATTATTTTTACTATTTTTGAAGTAATAAGTGCTCACTGTCTAAAATAAGAGCGATGTGGAAATGTTTAAAGTACAGAGGAAAAGTTATTCCGAGCTTACAGGTAGTACGATCATTATTTAAGTCTGGTTGGCCCTTACAAATTTATGATACATAACATACACATTTTTAAATAAATTGGATTGTACTATGTATACTTTCTGTAACTATAAAAGATTTGAGATAGCACAGTTTTCCTTGACTAGATATAAATATATCAAAGGTTCTTCATAATGAAGATTTTTAAAAAGAATTTATTTTTATTTTTAATGATGCACATGTGTGCACTGGTTCCTACAGAAGCCTGACGTGTCAGATCTCTCAACAAAGGTCCTGGAAATTGAACTTGGGTCCTCTGTAGACCACTATATGAATCAAGGACAGAGCCATTTCTCTAGTCCCATGAAAGCTTTAAGCAAACAAACAAACAAAAATAAATAAAAACAGCTATATAAATTTTGATTAACCAATCTTCAATTCCTGAATGGTGGGAATTTAGGCTGTTTTCTTTTTTTTTATTTTTATCGAAGGGGACAGTGACAGTGATTAAACCCAGAGTCTTAAAAAGTGCAGCGAGGGCTCCACAGTGCGACCACAGCCCAGCTGAATTGTTTCTCTTGTTGCACGGTGCACATTTCTGTCTGCATTTATCTAGGCGCCGACCTATTCCATATAAAATATCAAGTTCTAAAAGCAGCACCACTGGCCACCAAACATGCGCTCCAAAGCAGCTATAGGGCTGGGCTTTCCTCCAGAAGAAAGGTTACTCAGTGTCCACTCTTTTGAACAGCTGTTATAATTAAAGTAATTAGCATCATTTTTATACATGTCTGGCACATGCTTTTTCGTAAGGTAACTGCAGTTTTAAACAGAGGCTGGGTCTCTCATGTGCTCACCCTAACACAACGTGCTCTTTACAGACCTTAACTTCCACGACTTCGATGACTAACAGACACTAAGTCAAGAAGGACATTGCAAGAGATAATCCCCTTGGAGGAGTTAACACTGCAGTTCTGACTTAACCCAGATTTGGCTTGCCAGTACAGAATGTCCCTCAGCTCAGCACAGCACGGCACAAAAATAAAGCAGCATTGATTTGCCACGGTGGTGCTAGCCTTTTACCTGCTGAACTCTGATCCTTGAATCAATGTGTATGCCTGAACTTTGATCCTAACTGAGTTTGTTGTAGCACCGATTTTAACAAATAGCAGGGGGAGGGTGCAGTCTAATGAGCTATGATGAAACTAAAAAGTCTTGGAGGAAGATTTCTGTTCCGTGGCAGCCATCACTACAATTCCCAGTGTCCTAAACAGATCACACAAGAAGAAAGAATAAAATCTTCCACTCACTGAGATAAGAGTCATCTCTCTGGCATTACTGTTAAGATGTCCGAGAACAGAATCTACAGGGCCTTCCAAACCTAGCAGCTGATTTAAAAAAGTTTTACCCTACAAACTGCTGTTGCTTCCTCTTGTTCCCTTCCAAGAATACTTTCCACAAGTCAGCTTCCACTCACCAGTTTCCTTTGTGTGAGTATATTTGTCTATGTGTGTGTGCATGCATGAAAATGCATGGAGGCCAGAGGTCAGTGCTGTTCCTTGGGTGTTGTCCACCTTGTTTTTGGGTAAGGGTCTTTTATTGGCCTTCAATTCACTAAGCAGGTAAGTCTGGCTGACAAGGACCCAGAGATCTGCCTGTCCCCACCTCCCCAGCAGGAAGACTGAAAGTGTATGGGACCACACCTGAGCATTTCTCTTTACACTTGTTTATGCACATGTGCATGCAGGTGTGCACATGCAGGACACAGTTTGGAGAGCAGACAACAAGCAGTGGCCGTCAGTTCTCTCCCACTGCCATGCAGGTTCCAGGGATTAAAACTGTCAGGTTGGTGGCAAGCACCTTTGCCTACTGAGCTGACCTTAGCCCAGTTTTTAAAGTGGGCTCTGAGGACTGAATTTAGTTTCTCTTGTTTCATGGAAGCACTGTACCAACTGGACTACTGATCCGGCCCTGTACATCAATTTCCTGATACCAGATAATGCAATTTTACTTTTAAAAAGTTAACTCACCTTAAAATGTCTCAGGAAACAAATGTATAGACTAGACTAAATGATTTGTAAAGTCCCTTCTACCCTATGAATCTAAAACTTCCTGGTTCCCTGAGGGTGACAGTCACTACAAACACCAACCAGCAGGGGTGACAAAGAGTACTGCTCAGGACTGACAAGTAGAAGGCTGACACACAATAACATCCTTACAGCATCACTGTTGAGTCTCTGCAGTAATCAGGTCAGAGGACATGTGAGTTCCGAGGATCGAACCCAGGTCATCAGGCTTGGCAGCAACAGCCTTTATTGGTTTCTGTGAGTATTTTCATTCAACTCTACCTCCAAAATGAACCCATTCATTGTAACACTTCTGATAACATGCAGCGTGCAGTCTGTCTCCTGAGACAGCTCACTTCCTCTATTCCTTTTGTCAGACAATTCCAAATGGCAGTTTTTCTTAAACTGAGGCAAAAATGTGTTTTCAGGCCATTTTTATCTATAGACTCTAGTTCTGTGACCAATCACCAAAAATAAATCTCCCATATAGTAACAGCCTCCAAACGCCTCCAATTTCTACAACCTCACCCTTGCCCTCCCCTCCTCTCACTCCTTCACCTTCCTCCAAACTAAACATCTGCAGTTGCGCCAGCATTCTTCCCAGAGCACAATTTCAGTTCTCCTAACACACTGGCTGCTCTGTGTTTGATCTACTTAAACCTCTCATGTTCTCCTTAGTGTACTGTGCTTAAATACTTTGGGTTTTCCTGAATGCTTGCATTTTGTGGATATATATGGTAACTAAAAACTCACTCCACTGATGAAATGGTGAATGTCTATAGTAACTATAATAAACGGACAGGTATTAACTTTTCATCTGATCAATTCTAGAGAGCAAATACAGACTCTGTTTAATGTCTGGCATTTTTCTTTTTGCTGGCATTGCAACAGAACTACAGGGTATCAAGGACTTCCTTTGTGTACGGCACAGGCCTTGTGCGTGGGTGTCTTCTCTTCACAATAATTCAATGAAGCTGGCCTGTTTACACATCCATTCTACAAAAGAAGCAAGACATGGACAGATCAACCATTTAAGATGGATCTGTCTGTCTATCTATCTACCTCCCTATCTAAACACTCTGTCAAAATTACAAGGTAAATAATAGGGCTACACCTATACTGACTCACCAATAATGGACCAAAGAGCAAAAAGGTACTGTGTTAGAGACTACAGACTTGAATATAACCCTATCTTTGACAGTAACTACTTAGCCTTGAATAATTTCCTTGAGTTCTCTGGTTCCCAGGGGACCTAGTGAATAGCCTAGAGCTTAACTCACCACAAATGGATGTCTTCTAACTGAACACAGTGGCATATGCTTATAATTCTAGAAATTTGGAAGACTAAGACAGAAGAATCATGAATTCAAGAATAGCTTGACCTTGTCTCAAAACAAATACTCACATTAAAAATTTTAAGCAATAAAAAGAAATATTTTAAAGATGCAGGGAAAGGGACAACACTGGAGAGGCGGTTCAGAGGTAAAGAGTGCTGCTCTTTCAGAGGTCCTGAGTGTGGGTCCCAGTACCCACACTCAGCAGCTCACCACCATGTAGAACTCCAGCTCCAAGGGGGCCAATGCCCTCTTCTGCACTTCAATGACTCCTGCACTCAGATGGATATACTCACACATATAAGTTAAGAAATAATAAAAATAAACCTTTAGAATTTAAAAAATAAAACTAGTTTTCTCTATCACAGATAGAAGATTTAAAAAAAAAAACCTACAAATATATGTTCCCTTTTATGATCCTACAGGAGACTCTTCCCCCAAAGCTTCCAGGAAAAAGCTGAATAGCACTGAGGTCTCTATTACTTCACAATGGCACTGTTATTCTGCGGGCGATTTCATTACTTGCTTTAGTTATGGGTAGAACAGTGACAGAGCTGTGGTCGGCCTTTGCAGTCATGTGATGTGCTTTGGTAAAGCATACATTTTTGCCTCTACCTTTACTCTGCTATTCTTG